ATATTTTTTTTATAAGAAAAAGAATTATTACCAGATATAGCCAGACGTTCCTTAATGCATTACGATAGAACTATACATAAGAATTTAGTACGTGTATGTAGAAAGGTAGTACATTTAGGAGGAAAAATCTATAAGTTATACTGTATTAGTTGGGCCCAAATAAAGACATGTATTTAACAGCTTTTCATAGGGTGTGTATTCAGGAAAGTTGCATTTAAAGAGATCTGACTGTAGTTTATTAGATTAATTATGAGATAAAAAAGCTTTATTTGCTTAGTATATGTTAATTTTATATTGATTCTTATCTGTTAACAGAACATAATTTTTTTTCAAACAGAATTGCATATTTTTGTTTGATTATTTGACAGTTCAGCAAATATTTTTTGCAATTAATAAAATTACAAACTATTACGCGAATTAATGATTTGTCAAATACAAATATTTCTTAATAACAATAATTAGACTAAAACAAAAATAATAAAGTATTACCAAAACCTACAATTTCTGAACTCAAAATTTTATTTATCTCATATTTTACGCATGATTATGATTATATAATACATGAAATATATGCTAGATTTAATTATTACAGTTCAAGATTAAAAGAATAGTAATTTATTTTAAACTTTTATACATTGTTACAGATACACATATATCAAGAAATGTCTGATATTTTGATTCACCCAATGTTAAATACACCTAGTGCTTAACAATACAATTTAAGGTACTCTATAGTATACTACTTTGATGCAATAGTGCTGTGGCACTCTAAAAGTTAAAAGAATTGGATATTCACCACCATATAGTATACCTGGCTCTTGTATATGGCAATTTACAGTACACATAATATGCACTATTTATTGGCTTTGGTAAAGTTTTTTTACTCTATTTCTATTTCACTAAATTGTTTAAAATCATATACTATGCTGGCATTAAATATATTTGATAAGAAATTAATGCTTATGATTCCTATTCTTATGGATTTCTGATAACTTATGTTCATCTTTTCAGTTCAAATACCATTTTTATAACAATATCCACATTATTTCTTCTACTAATTTCTTATACTGTATATTTCTAATCCACTAGCGACTTTATCTCTGCAAAATTTGATAATTAATGCTTTCATATAGTTATAACTTTGAATACTTTAATTATATTAAAATATGAAGAAATAATCAAAAATAAAGAAATTTGATATTACCTAATAATGTGATAAATTATAAGACCAGAAAAACTATCGTTATTGCATCTTACACTTATTTTGATATTGGGTACCCGGGTCATCTTTATTATCAGAAATCTTTTATTTTTTAAATTCTTCTCCATGTGTTATATATGAATTACTTGTACTTTCTTCATTTGCTCTTTTTTTTCTGATCATTTTTTTTGTTTTTTTGCTCTTTTTCTTGTAACTCACGTTGTTTCTGTTAAACAACAGTATCAACTACTATATTATGCGCACGTCTACCATTTGGATCACGTTTAACAGTTTTTTCTATATCCTGTTTATAGATACTATAAAGCCTTTCCCAATATTATAACAGGCAAAAAGCCTATAAAATCCTTCATTACAGTTTTGGGTTGTATTTTGAAATAAGTGATGAGTTGCTGGATCATCCAGATTAAATGCTTCTAAAAAGTTATTTGTTAGTTTCTATTGTGCTTCCTTTCTTGATTGTAAATTATAATCATTATGTATAGCTAATAAATTATAAATAAATTCACTTAGTAACAGATTTAGTCTTTCTCTTTCCAATTGCACGGGTTCAATTCTTATTTTTAAATCTTCTATTGTTCCTAAATGCTTTCCCATATTTTGTTTCACATTTTTTACACCCAAAGATTTGACTGCCTCATCATATGCCAAGAAATTACCCGATCTAATTATGTTTATTGAATATGCATATTCTAATAAAACCTGTAAAGTGTAATCATTGCCAACTTGAGCTAAATAGTAAGTTACAGATTCTGAATAGTTACATCGACTGGCTACTGCAAACAGAGAAGCAAAAGCAGACAAACTATAATATTGCATACGGTGATTTCCATGTCGAATTCCAATCTTATAACAAACCCAAAATCTCACCTATTTAAAGAACAAATACTAAACTTTTAGAATATTATTATTCCCAGATTCTATATCTTCTAACTTTAACCTCTTATCTTTTATATGAGCCATAATAGCACTACCTACTAAGGCCCAAATTAATTCAACTACTCTACATGTGGCCTTATAATTTACAACCTTTTTAAGCTTTTTTAAATAAGAAACACCCAAACTAGCCACTAATTGATATATACTATAGCCAGAGAAAACCACTAATAAAGTATTTAATATACATTTATTTGTATGCCAGCTACCAAGCAATAACCGAATTTTGGGCTTTGCTATGCGCAATGAGACTAACCTACAAAATATCATTTGATCAGCAGAAATATCCAAAAAATTATTTTGCCTAACTTTAACATTATCAAAATATATATTTATTGCTTGATGAACATTTAAATCATTATATAGATCATCATCTGGCTTTAAAATAACAATGTTCAGTTGTAATATTTTATAGCTATAGATATATTGTTATGCAATTCAGATCTTATATTAAAAATATTATAATTCTGCCACCTATTGTCAACAAATAGACGAAATATTTCTTCAAACCTTCATATCTCTTCTTCGATAAATGTTGATTGCCCAATCTTAAACATAAGAAATTCATTATTATAGGATTTTATTATACTTGATATAGCTTGTAAAAATCAGTATTAAAATATCATTCTAAGTATAGTGTGAGCTGTTTTTCTTGCGATATCAAAATATTATCATAGCAAAATGTACTTTCTTAAAAATCAATATTATTTACCATGCAAATGTTCCATATATTTTCCCCTTTCTATAATTATTTATCTACATCAACTTGTTCACGATGCTGCTTTTTTAGATGTTTCTCATATCTACTAGTGTGGGATACAACATTAGCTATATATAATATCGCGTATAATGAAGAATGCAAATGAGGTTTTTGGTACAGTAAACTAAGCATATGAGTAAGCCAAAGATTCAGTCCCAGAAATATAATTGAAAATAATACAGAGGATAAAAACACAACAATTTTTTTTGTATGTGTTATATTATAGTCTTTTCCTAATGTTCGACTCTCTTTTTGCTTCCTTAATACTACCTTTCATTTATTTTGTTGTATAGTGTTGATTAAACCATCAAAAAAATCTAAAAGTATTGATGAAAAACTATCTTGATATTCTTTTAAAGAACTTGGCATTTCTAATTTTTCTTATTAGTTCGAATTTCTGGTCTAAAACACCAAAGTAAGGTTGCTAACACTTCATCTATTTGTCTTGGATTTTTTTTTATTATGTCACAGAATGTTTCATAATTCGAAAATTTTCTAATATTAACTTTCTTTAGCCTAATATGATTTTAATTTCTAAAAAACTTGGAGGTTTCAGAATTATAATTTCAGTTTGTTCATCTAGCTTTTTCCTAGTTTCATCGTTATCATGTTCTCCATCATTAATATTTTTATTTAAGTTTTTGATAAATTTTAACTTTTCAAAAAATACCATGATCCTTTTAAAAATCTCATAAATAAGAAGATGCTAGATATCTCTTTCAATAGTATCTAATATATTGTCCACCCATCTTGTCAAAAATTGAAGTGATTTTGCAGAATCATTGTAATATTGATCAGTACAATCATATAAAGGAACAGCGCCACGCCCTTGTCGTTTATATACATGACCACCTTCTAATGCAAAACATGATATACAAATATATTGTATGTGCCTAATACTATAAGATCATTTAACAAAATCATTCTCTTGAAATACAGGGCAATCATTTAATCTATTACAGACTATTTGTATATTTCGATCATATAGTTTCCAAGAATGTTCTCTACAATAACCCCTATGACTAAACACATACTTGTCAGATCCACAAAATAAACATTTTTTTGATGAATTAATGATTTTTTAATGCTAACTTCCTGCTTTTGAGATATATGTAATTGTTTATTATTATAGTTAAAATGACTAGTGCAAATTTTTAATGAACTTAAGCTATTATTTTTTGATACTGTTACAATTTGATTTACAGTTTCAAAATCTAATTCCCAGACCCCTCCAAGCTGCCTTAATGGCTTAGAAACAGGTTGTGAGTATCATTGTAATGTTTCTTTAAAATTATCAATTATAATACATGTGCTATTAAAATATTTTGATTTAGCTTTTACACAAATAAGTTCAATATCTAATTTATTTTCTTGATGATCTACTCTTTTCTATAAAGATTCACTATCAGTTGTCATATCAAGTTCTGGTAATAACCAATTTATATCGACTTTATTATATTGTTCTTGTATTATTTGTGATATTGAATTAGCATATGCTTTTGCTATCTTTACAGCCATTTATCAAAATAAAGATTACATAAATTATTATATACTTCATTATCTATATTGTTTAAACTATATACAGATGATAAAGAGAACATGGTTAGTTGTTCAAGATTTTCAGAGTTGTTTTCAATGCTAAAATTGTCCAGAATTTCAAAATCCTTGTCAGGATCATTACAAAAAACCTCTCCAATACTCTCGCTATTTAAGATTAAATTATTCATATTTAAATTCAAATAATTTTTTTTTTAAAAGAAAAAAGTTTAATTTGGTGGCTAAAATAAATACAATAAACAAATGCAATATAACACAAAGATGAAATCACTAAAAATTAAAGAAAAAAAAAACTTAACACTATCGCTATAACAGAAATGCAAAAAATAAAAAAATAAAATTGAAATAACAACAAAAAAAGTGCTATTCTAGTAACTATAAAGGATTTGACTATTCAAATTGTTTGTTTATGTTATAATAATTTCTTCAAAGAAATTAGAACCTTGTAAACACTATATATATATATTTGTTAGTTTCTATTGTGCTTCCTTTCTTGATTGTAAATTATAATCATTATGTATAGCTAATAAATTATAAATA